CCCGATTTCGATCCGGATTACCGATTCGCCGATCAGGATCGCCGATTCGCCGATCCGGATCGATTTTTGAAAAGCCCGATCCGGTTTTTAAACCATTGGTCATAACTAAAAACTCAAATGATAAATTTCGACATCAAATCAATGAGGTTCGTAATTAATGGCTAAATCAGTGTTTCCACTTCTTCAGGTTAGCAAATAAGGGAAATTGCCACCAGCAGATTTCCTTTCCCAGTTGTCGTATACATGTGTTACCAAACAAGGTTCCCGACTTCCAGCCACCGTTTTCTTCTTCCACCATTTTCTCATGCTCCCAATTTCCCAGAGATTCTCCAGGAAATTAGTTTTCGCAGATAGCAAACAGGGACTGTGTCTCTCCATTTTTTCTCTCTCTTTGCAGGGTATTTCCATTTGAGAATCTGGACAGCTGGATTTCTAACCAAAGCAACAACAACACCTGACAATGGAGGATCGACAGAGAGCCATTCTCATCAAGTCAGCTTCTCTTTTTCCACCACCTCTTGGTTAGATCACGCGAACCCTAACCTGCGTTTTCATCGTTTACTTCTACAAATTATAGCCCCATCTTCCATCATTTCTTATCAAATCTTCCTCATTCATACAGTTTCCTTCTATTTCTCAAATTTTCTCTTGTTTTCTAACGTTTTGGGGGATTTTAGGGGTGAAGTTTTCGTATGGAACTGCTGGTTTCAGAGCAGAGAGCTCCATTCTCTCTTCAACTGTTTTTAGGTCAGGGATTTTGGCCGCCATGAGATCTCTGAAGACTGGTTCACTGATCGGTTTGATGATCACAGCTTCTCATAATCATGTTTCTGATAATGGTGTGAAGATTGCAGACTTTCATGGTGGTATGATGACTCAGGATTGGGAACCCTTTGCTAATGACTTAGCAAATGCCTCAAATTCTAAGGATTTGATAGAGGTTGGGAATCTGTAATTTTCTCTTAAGTTATTTGCATGGTTTGGTTTTAGATTTCTTTTCCCCCTTGTTATTATCAGTCGTGATTTTTTTTTTTTTGGGTCAAAATTTCCTCTGAAATTTAAGGGAGTTTTCTAATATTCTCTGTAAAGTTAGGGAACTAGGGGAGATTACCTGTGAATTTAGACTATTGATTGATTCATCTGTTATTATGTAAGCATTCAAGTCTTATGCTGTTCATTAAATACTCTGTTTTGGATGTGTAGATTAATAGAATTTGTGCTTCTTCATAATTCGTCAGTCCATTTTCTTAGTAGTTTGCTCTTATGTTTATTCGAAGGTTCAATCAGTCCTCAGGCTTGGGACTAGGGCCTCTGCCTGAGCCGAGCAACTCCGGTGTGTACCACCCCATAAAAGGGCTAAATAATAAAAAAGTATTGTTAGAAATAAAAAAAAAAGTGTAAAATGCAAACAAAACTCTAAAGGACATTAGAAGTCCAAAAAACAAGGAAAAAATATATAAAAGGCAGAATTTGGAAAAAATGAGTTATAGCATACAATTCAGAAAAAGTCCAAAAAGGGGGAAAATAAAAGAGTATATAACTTATGATAAGAAGTTATCACAAAAAAATCAAAACTATATATAGATACATTGATTTAGCAAAATAATATAATTTTTATGTTTTTGTGTTTTTTATATTACCGAGTTTGTACCTAAGAGTCTGAGAAAATAGTCTGAAGTTTACTTGTCTGAGTGGACACAGCCACATTTCGACACCTTGGTGGATCTTCTGGTCTTGCTCTAGAATAACTGGATCAGTTAATTTTGTAAACTTTTTTTAAACTTTAAATGGATGTCCTGTTTACTTTAGCCCACGAGCCTGCTTTTCCTAATTCATCATGCAAAGCATGCTGTTCTTTGATGTTCATTGATCAATTTGTTTAGATTTTAATTTCCATGCTGTGTAAATGCAACCCTTGGATTTAACTTTGCAGTTAAATTTGAAGTTTTGCTTCATTTAGGCCCCGTTTAGTATCTGAGAAAATAAGAAACTGAGAAAATGACCTGTTTTCTCAATTACCACTTTTTCCCTTGTTCGGGAACGGGGAAAAGCGTGGAAATGCGGAGCCCTACATTTCTCTGTGTTTCCATGCTTGTCCCAATTTTGGGGTAAACCGCAGCACTGATTTATCAGGAAGAAGAGAAGGGGGGGGTGAGACCTCCCTTCCGCCCTTTTATTTCTCTAACCACACGATCTCTATCCCCACTTAATCTCTCTTTGCCCAAGCACTAGCCCAAGCTTTCTTCGGTTTTCACAGACAGGTTACCCAATAGGGGTTCTGAGACAAGTTTTCTACTCTTCACTTTTTATCAGACTTTTAGTTTCGCAGGGATTCTCTAGGAAAACAGCTTTCTCAATTACCAAATGGGGCCTTAGCTTGTTCAATTGTCTACATTTTGCCTATATCCTTTTTCCCATTGCGATCTTTGTGACATTTCTTATACTTGGTTTCTTCCTATGTGTATTTATTACTTTGTCAGTTCACACCATTAATCAATTCAATTAATGAATTGGTTACATTTCTTCTATTGTTTAAGAAATGAAGGTAGGGTTTTTTTTTTTAAAAAAAGAGCTGTGACTGCACAAAACTTTACTTGGGTTAATTATTACATATAACGATTTAACAATGCAGTTTTTTATTTTTTATTTACGATTTCGTCTTTTGGTAACAGTTAATAGCTGACTTTGCAAAGAAGGAGAATATCCCTTTTGGAGGGTCACAGTCTGGAGAGGTTCTCTTAGGAAGAGACACAAGGCCTAGTGGTGAGGCTCTCATGGAAGCTGCAAAACAAGTATGCCTTTTATCTCTGTATTTTCTTCTTCCTTTAAAGTTCTTTATGCCTAAAAGATCATTTTCTCCTTTAGAAAATAAAGTATGACTGTATGGTATAATAAACATGTGTCTATATCTCCCCCACCGTTTCCTATTTCTCATCACAGGCAATTATTATTCTCTAGAATCTAGATATTCCATGGAAAAGATGCTTTGTGTTTTCTTTTTGTCCCTAAGCTTTATGGTTTTATGTTTTTTTTTTTTAAATAATTTTTGATCTCTTATGTTTTCATCTTTGAATGCTATATAGTGTAACTTCATTCATTTGATTGAAGGGGGTCAGATCTGTGATTGACGTGGTTGCGACTGACATGGGCATTTTAACAACCCCACAACTTCATTGGATGGTCCAAAATAGAAATAGAGGCTTAAGGGTTACTGAATTCGATTACTTCTCACAAATTTCCAATTCTTTCAGGTATGTCCATTAGTGTTCCATGCTGTCCTTGATTATGGAGTGGAGAAAGTTCTTAGTACTGTACTTATGTGCCCTATGACTTATCTAGCAATCTTGCAATTTATTTTACTGGGAAGGGCTTCATTAACAAAGAATATAAGTTGATCAATATGGACCTTATTCCTAGGTTGAGGTCTTTATTCTCCTTTGCTGCTACATGTATACCCAAAAAAAAAAAATTAACTGATGATGATTGCAGAAACTTAATGGAACTGATACCCAGAGGAACAAGCCCTGAGCCTTTTGATGCAAAACTGCTTGTGGATGGAGCAAATGGTGTCGGTGGAGAGAAGCTTGAAGGATTGAAGAAATTGCTGAAGGATTTAGATATTCATGTTAGAAATACAGGCAAGGAAGGAGAAGGAAATCTTAATGAACGAGTTGGTGCTGACTATGTGCAGAAAGAGAGGGTAGTGCCCTTGGGTTTTGGCCCAAATGATGTTGGGTTAAGGTTGATTACTCTATTTCATGATTCCCATTTGAAATCTCGTTATTATTTTTTTTTCCAGGGAAAAACCCCAATTGTTGAGCATTACCCACCTGGTATCTGTTTTAAAGCAAAATTCTTGTTTCCTAAAGGGAGTCACCTTGCGAATTAGCTTCAAAAGGCTCCAGTTTTAAAGAAAAAGTAACTGTGCTGATTGAGAAGGTACTTACTATTTTATTGGTTTTAGTTTCTCAGGTGTGCGAGTTTGGATGGGGATGCAGATAGGCTTGTTTATTTCCTTTTCCCATCAGAAGGATCCAAAAGCATAGATCTTATTGATGGAGATAAAATATTGTCACTTTTAGCTTTATTTATCAATGAGCAGTTAAGGATTCTGGATAACAAGGAGAAAATGGGTACCTCTGAATATGATTATCCAGTTAAACTAGGCATTGTACAAACTGCATATGCTAATGGGGCATCAACAGATTATCTAAAAGAACTCGGCATGGAAGTTGTTTTTACTCCTACCGGAGTGAAATACCTTCATGAGAAGGCTGCAGAATATGATATAGGAATCTATTTTGAGGCAAATGGTCATGGAACTATTCTGTTTTCGGAGAAGTTCCTTAAATGGTTGGAGGCTAAGATTCAGGACTTAGCTGCAGGTTAGCATGCGTTTGTGAATTGTTTCTATAGAAAATAAATCTAATTGGTGCTTCCTTCTTATATTTTTTTTTGACTTTAGGTTCAGAGATGCAAAAAGCCGCTCAGAGGTTGTTGGCTGCAAGTAATTTGATCAATCAAGCTACCGGTGATTCTTTGAGTGGCTTGATTTTGGTGGAGGTTGTTCTCCGCTATATGGGATGGTCAATTCAAAGGTGGAAAAGCCTTTATCAAGATCTTCCCAGTAGGCAAGTGAAGGTTAGTTGTTACCCTAATGTAGATGAGAATTGATTATTATTTTTAACTTTTTATTTGAATATTGTTTTCTTTTTCTTGTTCTTCATACGTTATCCCTCCAATGTATGCCCTTGTTAGTACTCGACCAGCTATTTCAGGGGGTGAGCTCCTTCCCATACCCTTAAGTACTAGGAGACTGTGCCACACCTCCATTTTCTTTCAAGGTTTGTCCTAGCAATTGACACCTGGAATTTCTTCATGTCGTCTAGAATGGAGATTCTTATGGACCACAATAGCACTCTCAACAGTTAACACTTTCAAAACAAAAAACCAGGAATTACAAACCCCAATGCCTCATGGAACGAAAAATATAGAACTTTATCAGGGGCTCATGGAAACTCCCAACCAGACTGTTGTAGTCTAACAGCTACAACTTTCCGTTCCTTTGGAACAAGGGTGATGAGCGTAGTCATAGTTCCACATTCCATACCCCAAGTGCAAAAATCAAAGTGGAACTCTCTTGAACTCTCCTGTGTTGATAGAATTCCACTCCTAAATAGGCCTTCTATAACTGTTAACTCCATGGTGGTCTTGCAAAAGACTTGATGCCTCAGCATTATTTGTTTATCAAACTAGGTTCTAGAGCTTAGTGGGGTTATCTAAAACTCTAGATTCTGTTGTGTCACTGGTTCTAAAGTTTCTAAACTTGTTTTTTGAGTTTGATTCAGAACTTTCTTTTACGATTTTACAATAAAAAACTCTTTTTCCTTCTTTTTGCTTTGGGGATATTAATTTGTTCAATTAATGCACTGCTGTGGCGTGTTAATTTGTTTCCCGGACTATATTCTGATCAATTACTGCAAGATGATCTAGTCAGTTATAAAATTTCCGAATTATGTGGTTTTTTTTTAGTGAAGTATTTGAGTCATATTTTGATTGATATGCAGGGTTTCATGAATTACCAGAGTTATAATAATTCTTTGGTTTTTCCATAAACCTTCAGGTAAAAGTTGTAGATAGAACTGCCGTAGTTACCACAAATGCAGAAACCAGCGTTTTAAGGCCTCTGGGTCTTCAGGAGGCAATCAACTTAGAAGTTGGTAAGAAGATTTACACACTAATTAGAAAACCTGGGTTTAATTGAATGTCCACTTGTGTCATACACATACACACATGTGTGTGTGTCTGTGTGTGTGTGTGTGTGTGTGAGAGAGAGAGAGAGAGAGAGAGAGAGAGAGAGAGAGAGAGAGA